TTTTTTGAGGTACAGACCAAATAGTCTCGTTTTGCCATCATTTTTAAGTTCTGTTCAATAAACATTTAAAAGATGATTTATTATATTTGTCTTTTTGTAGGGGGTGTGGGACCAGTTTCCTGTTTTACAATGAATGGTTAAAGGTAGCCTACTATGACCTTAGCTTTGTTAGATTCAGCTGCAGGTTTGAACTAGAAGAATTATAATTTTAATATGAAAAGAATAGAAGCAGTATCGGAAGTTTCTAAAATAAGTTGAAATTTGACGCAGAAAAGACGTCTATATTGACCGCATTTGCACCACAATTAGCGGTCTGCAGGACGTCAAAAGGAGACGTTTGACAGACGTCAAAAAAAAGACGTCTTCTGGCGTCACAGTCTGCACCTGCGAGGGCCCAAATTTAGACGTCCAAAAATGACGTTGAAAACGTCGTTTAGACGTATCCTTGCACAGTGGGTTCAGGAGAGATTTGCCTCCATAGACTCTAAACAACTGGACAAAGTGCATGTGTGGATCTGAGAACATGAAGACCCTGAGCTCAGATGATACAGAGGCTGTTTGAGCCCTTTTGTAGGTAAAAGGTTACGTTCACACTGCAGGTCTAAATGCTCAATTCTGATTTTTTGAAACCAAACCAAAAAAATAAATAAAAAAATAAAAGACATTCACATTGTGTTTTAAATGCAACTGCCATCTGACTCCAATGTGAACTTTACACGGCTCTGATGCAACCCACATGCGCAGAAGATAACATGATTGCAGTCACATTGAAAAACATCAGATATGTCTCCAGTTCAGTATCACACACTGAAAAGGCCTGTGTCGGATTTGAAAAAAGAAAAAAAAAATTGAACTTGTCACGTTCAGACAGTCACGAGAAAAAAGTCCAATATAGGTTGTACAGGACAAAAAGAACCACATTAGATTTGGGTCATATTTGCCTGCAGAGTGAACGTAGCCAAACCTCCGTCGTGCAACACCACGCACCTGCCTCTAATTATTAAACTCTTACAAGTTGTTCTGCAGCCAGTTAATATAAGCCCTGACGGATCTCTTTCCTACATCGAAGTCCATCGGCCAGAACAGGAAGCTGAAAGACCCGTGGAAGCCCTCCTCGTAGTGCTCGTTGGTGACGGAGACGCCWGCGTCCTGTAGGCGCCGAGCGTACATCAGCCCGTCGTCTCTCAGCACGTCAAACTCACACGTGATGATAAACGCACGCGGGCATTTAGCCAACACCTCCGGTCCGGCTAAAAGAGGTGCCGCTCGCACGTCCAGAAAGCCCGGCACCTTCTTCAGAATCTCCTGCGATCCTTTCTCCACCACGACGGGCTTGTAGTTTTTCTTGAACTTCTGAGGCAGGAGGGCGGTCCAGTCGATCCTGGACCTCAGCTCAGGCGTGATGCCCGAGTGCTGCGACGCGCTGTGGTTGTTTGCCACGAGCTGAGGCAGCAGGGAGAGGTCGGCGCCCAGGTACTGGAGCCAGAACTGGACCATGGTGTCCCGACGGAGGATGGGCATGTGTTGGTTCTGCAGGAAGGAAGGCGTGTTGAAGTCCAGAGCCTGCAGCACCGGGTAGATCAAAGCCTGGACGCTGAATTTCACAGCCACGCTCTCGTCCATGGAAATCTGGAGAAAACATGAAAACTTCTACAAATGTTGCAGGTGAACTTGTAGCTGAACTTCASCTGGTTTCTGCACGCACCCCCTGAGCTACTGCAGCAGCCAGATTCCCTCCGGCGCTGTCTCCTGCCACAGCCACGCGTTCAGGGTCCACCGAGTACTTCGCCAGAACCGCTGGAGATAGGAAGTGTTTGGCAGCAGCGAGGCAGTCCAAATACGGTTCTGGGAAAAGAACCTCGGGATACAGACGATACCTACACACAAACACACACACGTTTGTATTTCTATCCTTATTAGGGTCATTCATTGATTTCCATACATCTAACCTAACCCTGGTCCCTTACCCTAAACCTAACCCCCAACCCAAAAATGATGTTCTATCATATCAGAGCCGATCTTTGGTCCCCATAAAGAAAACTGGCCTTGACAGGGTGTGTACACCAGAAACCGTCTTAAAACGTTAACAAATACAAGTACACACACATCTCAAAGTTTGACTTAAWAAAATACAAACTGAAATTTGTTAAAAGAATAAAAAGACAATCAGCCTGAAAAACATTAGCCATTAGCCTAGCTTAGATTAAGACCTCTGCCTTTTCCTCCATACTCAGAACTGTATGATTAATGTCACCACTAATAATAATAATAATAATAATAATAATAATAACTAGAAGCACTCGGAGAGTGCAAACCTCCGCCAAGACCAATTTCCCCCATCCTGTAATAGAGTTACAAAGGGGCACACCAATACTACAGTGCCACCTGCTGGACACNGTGCAAACCTCCGCCAAGACCAATTTCCCCCATCCTGTAATAGAGTTACAAAGGGGCACACCAATACTACAGTGCCACCTGCTGGACACTTTGAAACCCACGCCCTGTGAAAGCATCACAGCTTTGCTGATCTCAGAGTGTTAAAAGAAAAAAAAATTCTGTATCMGCATTGTGATCCGGAACATCACCAAAATTTAAAGGTGTGTTACTCGAGCCACATGTGGAAAAAATGTCATGACAATCCGTCCACAAGTTTTTGAGTAATGTTGTCCACAGACAGAACGACAGACGGACAGACATACGCGACTGAAAACATTACCTCGCCCTTGGCGGAGGTAATAATAATAATAACAATTTTAATAATAATAACTATTTGAAAGAGCATCCCTTCAAAAATGACTGGACTATCCCTTTAAGGTTTTGGTCCTCACTGCTGATTCTGAGAGAGTTTTCTGCTTCGTCATAGTTGTGATAAAGTTATTTAAAACTTGATCAGCTGCCAGCCTATATGCTGACTGCAGCATTTTCCAAGTCGACTGTTAGAGCTCTGACAGTTTGTCTCAGAAATAATTGGTCTTTTTCCAATCGGCTCAACTCATCCCTACTTGGCTCGACTTGGCGAGTCTTCGGAGACTTTCCACTGAGTGATGCCGCTGCTTGCAGCACAGACTTTATAACTACTTGGTCAGGGTTTGAGTCAAGCTGAAGATACGGCATCAGCGGACTGCAGGCCACTGATTGGCCGGAGGACGATGTCAGTCAAAAAGTCTCTTTCGCAAGAATCAAACCCACCATTTTTCATCCTTGTACTGTCTTTTGGGGAAACATTAGCTCCAATATTTTTACTTTGTCAATTAAAAAAAAAACTTCTCATAATCTCATAGTAACTACTTCTCTCGTGTTCCATATAGGAAAAGTTGGCCACATACATTATAAATACAACTATTAATCTCACATTTATATCATAAAATATTGCATTCTTCTTAGTAACTTCTTTTCTTTTTACCTCTATCCTTATAGTTTGAATTTCTATTTTAGCACACTTGGCTAGTGTTCAACTTTTACATTTGAGAGATGCTGTAAAACCTACACGTTGCTTTATTTTACCTAGAAAGTATGGAAATAAATCAGACTCAAAACGAGTTGAGAATGCACAAGAAAACAAGTTTTCTAAAAATAAATAAATAAATAAATAACCAACCTACAGACTTAAGAGATATTTCAGTACAGTCCACAAAATTTATATATATTTTTTCTTGCAGAAAACTACCAGAAACAACATAATATTCAGTTTGTTTGTTTGCTTTATTAATTTTATTTATTTATTTGTGGATTGTACATTTGAAGGTAACAACTCAAATAGGTTATTCTTCTACAAAAATGACTGCAAACATAAATTTACCAGTGTTCTTCTGCAAAAAACTGCTAATAAATATATTTTCCAGTATTTTTCCAAAGAAAAATAACCGTTTTGAGTAATGTTCAAGATTGGATGCCTGAATAACGTGCAGAAAACCACACAAATTCCTAGTTATATGTTTATTTTCAGATCTAAAGACTGCATTTCCCTCTCAGAGCCTGTGTGTGTGGCTCTAGTCTGAGTCTAATTAAAATAACCCTGAATCATAATACTTATGGGGCGGCTGTGGCAGAGCGGTTAGGGGAGTCGTCCTGGAACTGGAAGGTTGCCGGTTCGATCCCCTGTCCAGCCGTCTCAGTTGTTGTGTCCTTGGGACACTTCACCCCTAATGCCTCTGATGTGTGTCCCATCAGTGTATGAATGTGATTGGCACTGATTAGTCTCTATACATGATTGTACATGCTAGCTTTGTAGAGGCCTAATAGAGTGCTGTGTGAATGGGTAAATGAGGACACAGATAGTGTAGGGTAGCCTCCCTCCGCCTAAGGGTGGGGGGACGGGTTCTGACTGTTGTCTGTGCTTACGGGCCGAACAACAGTTCAGATTACCCACCCTTCTTGGAGTCCTTAGATGGGGTACTGGATGGTGCCCCTCCTGGGGACTCCCTTGTTCTGCGGGACTTTAATGCTCACGTGGGCAATGACAGTGAGACCTGGAGGGGCGTGGTTGGGAGGAACGGCCC